CGCCTGTTGTGCTCATGGATCTGCGACTGTGATTTGTCTCAGGCGCTGGTGCTGGGTTCCTTCAAACCCAGTAGGGAGGGAAAGGAGAAAAGGAAAGAGAAGGAGAAAAAAAAGAAATTTTTATTTATTAAATTATATTTTTGGTGCCAAGTCACAATATTTTGAAGTTCAAGGGTAAATTTAATTCAAAAATGAAAGTTAAGGGACTGAATCAAGGATTTAACCTTTTTTTTTCAAACCTTTAGTTAGTAGTGGGACCCACAAATAAAATTGGTAGCAGGTAGATTTCCCGCTCACGTGGTTCCAAGTTGGCATGCCAAGTTGTAAAAAAAGTCTGAGGTGGCGCTGACATGTGCACACTTGACGGAGGCCAACGGTGCACGTGCTACACGTGACGCTTCGGCGTTAAATTTTGCCTCATTTCCTCAAACTCGAAAATATGAAGGGCAAAAATTCATATATTATAATATGGAGGGTAAAAACCCTCAAAATCGAAAAGTTAAGGGGTAAACGGGTACCTTTTGCCGAAGAAAAAGTAATCAGGGCATTCCTTGTAGGGCTGGATCTATTGTTGGGGGAACAGGGCAACTATAAAGAAGTGTCAAATATTGGACAAATGGAACTCATAAAATAAATCTGGGAGGCGTTACAGTTGAGGAACTTAAATGGGGGAAGAAGCTGATGGTCCAACTTAATCGTTTTCAAATGATAATATGCTCCATGATAGTCATCTCAGAAATGGTTACACAAATGGAGATTGCATCTAGTCGTTTAGAAATGAAATGCTGAATTCCCGTGAATCATCCCATAATCTCTTTTCACCTTCATTTTCCTTGACATTTCTGAAAAGCAACCACCATCGGAAAGCGAATGATGATTGATATGTCTGGAATAACTGATTGTCAGCAATCAGCGTATGACTATTGCTTATTTGATAGAAATTTGCATTTAATTTTATTTGATTTTTCTCTACATTGTTTTTGGCCACATCGATCTGTAGGTGTTGAAAAATAAGTCTTGTTGATGTGTGATTTTGCATTTAAATTTTGCAATAACGGGTAATTCTCCATAGTTTCTAATGCTAAATTAGATGAATGTCTTTGACAGAATTATATAAGTAAAACTAATGAGATATCAATATTTATCATTTTAATTAAGACATTTAATTTTAACTATATAATAAATAAGATTCAAACAAAACTTAAATTATATTTTAATATTTTTAATATGAAGAGGTTTTGATTTTTTTACGTTCACTTTTTTTAATACTAATAATGAAGAATGTAAGTGGGACACAACATTTTGGAAGATTTTGTTATTTTTGATTGTATCCCTTATTCGGTCAAATATGCTTGTATGCCTGATATTTTGGGAATTGAATTTCCCAGAACCACTTGATGTACTCATGTTTGTTATGTTATAATATTTCTCCTTTTTACCAAATAATAATAATAATAATAATAATAATAATAATGAAGAATGTAATAATTTATTCAAAAAGAAGATTTGCAGAACCCAACCGAAGTCAGAAGGTTTGGTTGACACTTTCAAGTCAAAGGAAGGCCATTCTTGTATTAATGACTCTGTTCAGATTGAACGGATTAAAACCCCCCACCGCCGCCCAACAACCCCACCCCCTTCTAACAACCCACCCCAATAAAGGAAGGCTTGAACTGTGAGCCTTGATGATCCACACTTAGGGGAGCTCAATGTTGGCATGTTGCTACTAAGCAACAGCCTAGCTAGCGGGTCAGACTATCTTCTTCAATTGATACCAATTATTGAAAATCTTTGCTTAATATTGAGATTTCATACTGAATCCCCTCATGTCTGAGTTTTGTTTAATTTTATATAGATTTTGTTATTGGTTAATATGTATTATAATAAAAAAAAAAAAGAAAAATCAGAACATATTAACATTAAAAATATTAAAAAATCTAATAATAACTATACAATGAAGTCAATAAAATTAAAATCTATATTATACTTTATATATTTAATGATTGTGATTTGATGTTTTGATATTTTTAACACCAAGACGATTTAATTTTGTTTTATTATAATATATTGTCTAACTATAAGTCTACAATTCACCATTCAAAAAGCCTACCAAAAAAAGAAAAAAGAAAAAAGAAAAAAACAATTCACCATTCAAGGTTTGGGATGAGGATATTATTTGTGTCATACTCTTAATAATTAATATCACATCTATTTAATATAATTAACTATTATTATACCGTTGTTTATTTCTTAAATAAATTAAGATATCATATTTAGTTAAAATAAAAAATGTGACATAATAATTGAGGGTCCAGCAAAAACACCACCCCTAGTTTTGAACCAGTCATGATCTTAAAAACGCTTAGGTTGGAAGAAATCATATTCATGTGATGGGGACAAGAATGCATGTTGGAGACAACGTAAATCAACAGGAGCTGAACTCGAAAGATCTGTCCTTTTTCCTTTTTCTTTGTTATTTTTTCACGAGCAAAGAAAATTCTTAATTCAAACTACTCGGATATTTGATACAGTGGGGGACCAAAGAACCCGAGTCAAGTCCTGCAAGCTGCAAGTCTAGCCTCCATATTTGAGTTTATTTTTTTTTCCCAAACAAAGTGGTGCAAATGAGGTTGTTCAAACTCCCATATGAATGATGGCCCAAAAACACTACCATATGGGTGAATGAGAATTTAATGTACCTTTTTCATTTACATTTGGACTGTACCCTTGATCAAATCTCCTATTACCTATCTTAAACTTCGAATTTAAACAACAAGGAGTCACACTATTCTTAATTATGAGACATTTTTTTAATGACAGAGTTTGGTCTTTTTTAAGACCACTAAGTTTAAAACCTAGCAAAAATCATAGATCAATTGTTAAAACCTCAATTGTAACTTATATCATTTAACTATTTCAAGATTTAACTCCTAAGTAGATTAATGATTAGGGGTTTTTTAGAAACAAGATTTTTTTAATGTAATACAAGAAATTTAACGCAAGAGATGGTGCGTATATGTATATAAGACTTTTTCTTGTTTTGTAATAAGATCATGCTACTTGAACATGTAAATTTTTAAGATATTAACTGATTATTTTATTATTAAACTCAATTTAATGATCTCATCTTACTATTAAGTTAAAAATGACTTAAAGTTTATACAGTTAAATTTTTATATAATAATGGATGAAGAATAAAAATAGAATTCTTTAAATTATACAAACCTCCATTTTTTTAGTTTTTCCTTGCGGACTTCATTGATAGAGAAATTACAAAACTTCCCCGAATCTGGGGTAAACACACCTAAACATTAGTCTCACTGCTTGAATATTTATTTCCCCTTTTATTTTCCCTAATGAATTGAAAGAAAAAGAATTAGCACAATTTGCTGGCAGTTTGTTCTGATCTTTTCCCTTTGTCTTATGAAGACTCTTCTGTACAATTGAGGTTCCCTCTTTTGTAGCCTAATCAAATCTTGAATTTCTTTCTTCATCTGGGTGTTTCATGGCCAAAAAATCATCTTTTTCTTAAGGGTAAACAATTAGGGTCTTCTTCTTCTGCCTTCATCTTCTTTCTCTGAGATCTTTCCTGCCTATTTTTAGAAAGTTTCTTGAAGTTGGGACTTTTTTTTTTTTTTTTTTAATTTCCCTTTTTGTCTAAGACTTTTTGCTTAACCTGATGGGCAAGCCATTCTGGGGAAGGGCAAAGGGGCCATACTGAATCCCACTGTTTGTACCTACCATAGACCACCTGCAACAAATTTGGTCATGTCAGCACTTTCCATATCTGGAAACTGGACTTTCTAACCCATACCCACTCAACTGAAAAGGTTAAAATGAAAATCAGCACCCAAAAGTTTTACCTACCTGTACTTTGTGGTCAGATGATGGAGAAGCACCAACATCTCCAGCTTAGCTAACTCATTACCAGGACATGAGTGGATCCCATTGCCAAATGGCATAAATGTATTGGGTTTTGGTGCCACCTGTTACAAATTAGATATTTGAGATTCGGAATTCTGTGTTTTTTTTAATACCATCAGCATACTGCATACACAATCAATCCTTGAAAATTTACCTCAAATCTTGATGGATCAAACTTTTCAGGATCTGGGAAGATTTCAGGGTTGTGATGAATATTTCTGAAAAGTGGTAAAACTTTCCACCCTTTTGGTATAAGATATCCTGAAAGATGTTTTAAAAGAACCATCAGTTACAATAGTTAGAAAGATCAAAACTTTGACAAAGATCACATAAAATGACGAATGGGTTTTTGTTATTTTGTCAGATTTTTTTACAACTGACCTTCATATTCAACATCCTCCACAGCTTCTCTAAATGTAAAAGATAGAATTGAAGCAACCCTCATGGTCTCCTGAATTACCCTTGAAGTTATTGGCATCTTCCTGGTATCTGCCCAAGTCAAAACCTTCTCCTCACCACACTTCTCTTTACTCTTCATTATAGCCTCTTGTTCTTCCTGTAAACCCACAACCAATGATTTTCAGCTAAGGCCCATAATTTCAATCCAGGATTCAAGGCTTTGTTCTATCCTGGATAAGATTTCTTACCGTGACAGCCTTAAGGACACTTGGGTTTTCACCAATATACTTGAGGATCCAAGTCAATACACTGGCTGTCGTGTCACGGGCAGCGAATATGACCCCAATTATGTTGTCTGCTATTTGTTCGTCGGTGAGGCCTTCTTTATCACCCATGAGGGATCCGAGGAGGTCGTTGCGATCGAGCTTCATTTCCCTCCTGGTGGAGATGATTTTGGCCACAATTCGGGCTAGTTCCTTCCTTGCTTTCATAGATTTGTTGAAGAGTGTGCCTGGAAGGTTAATGGGCATTGAATTGTAACCCTGCTCCAGAATGTAGTAACACCTCTTCAGATCTTCTCTGTATAGAACTTCATCCTTTCCAAATATAGAAAGTACAGCGACATTGAAGGTGTACTGCAAATTTCAAGAAATAAATCAGAAAACAGTTACAGAAACTGACAGAAAAAGCCCTTTAAAACAGTGGAAACAGGGGACTCTGCTTTTCCCATGTTTCCTCTGTTTATATTTATAAACAAACCGAGCTTACCGTTTTCATTTCTTGGAAAGTGGTGATCAGTCTTCCTTCCAAAGACTGGAGGGTATCGTTGGCGATTGATTCGACATCGGCAACGATATTCTTTATGGATTCAGGCATGAAGGCACGCAGAACAAGCTTCCTCAACTTGTCATGGTAGTCTCCTTGGTGGAAGAAAATGGCCTGTTTCCCCAACATCCTCTCTTTGCTCGCCGGGAAGGTCGGCTTAAAGAGGTGAGCCCTGGTCGCCAGTACAAATTTAGCTGCCTCAGGACTGGAAATCATCACACAAGGACAACCCAATATGTGGGTCTTGAATACAGACCCATACCTACACATCGAAAACAGAACAAGAACAGAACCATTATCAAATCATTCAACAAAAGTACCCAAAAAAAGGGAGGAATTTGACAATTTGGTAGTTGGCATAAGAATATACTTCTTCTGCTTTGAGGCAAAGAACACATTTGGGTTTTGAGAGTATAGCTGGAAGGTTTCGCCGATGTAAGGCCAACCCATTGAGCCAGGAGGGAGAGAGAGTTTCCCACGATTGGGAGAGAAGAACTTGAAGAGGGAATGGAAGAGGAAAGAAACAAAAACAAAGAAAGCAAAAACGGAAAACACAGAGGTGAATTCCATGTCTGGAGAGTAGGAAGTAGAATTAGTGGTTAACTGAGGAAGAAATTGTGAGGAGATGAAGTGAGAAAGGGGGCTATATATAACCTTTTTTGAGGGAGCGAGCGAGCGAGCGAGCCGGTAGGAAAGGGGGAAGGCCTTTTCATACAGCTTGAATCTCACACACGGATTCTCCTTCCAGCTCATTCTTTGTTTCGAGGGAGAGCACGTGTAGAGGAGGATGCATAAATGGTGTGTGAGAATTTGACCAGGAAATGGGGGAAAAAATGGATAAACAAGGGGCTTTTGTTACAAGTGCTTGTGGTGAAGAGGTGCAAATTAAAAAAACGACTCTTAAGGGTGGCAAAAGGAAAAGTCTGTGTCTTTTAGTCGGCCGTACTTTGCCTTACTGTTTATGGCTTTTAATATACAACAATTGGGGTGCAATAATAATCTATACATCACGATACTCCAAGCTAACTGCTGTTGATTACTTTCTGCCAAACCCACTTTAGGACTTTGTGATCGTGTTTGTGTTTCTTACAATAAACTAAAGAAGTCCCCCAGTTGATTTTTTTAACAAAACTTTTTATCGATAAATTTTTATAATTATATAATGTTAAATAAGTGAATATACTTAATTTATACGATCACACCGCATGAAAAAAGTTGATAAAAACAACAGTTTTTTCTGTGATATGATATGCTTGTTTTGGGGGGAAAGTGCATCTTTCAAGCCGATACAGGCATGGCAAGAGAGTCTATCAATTCCATTTGCTAAAATTTCAAAAGGAAATACCAAAAATTCAGGATGAAACCAAGCATTGGTGAATGAGATGAAGATGTTGGGTGTTAATTGGGTGGCCTTTTCAAAGTACAAGATTCTCTGAATTTGGACATTTGGCTGTTGTGCGAGTGGAAAGATGGGACCCTAAAATTTAAATAGGATCTTATATCCTAGTCAATAGTAGGTTTTAGTTGAGTAAAAATGAAATGCGGGAGAGATCCCAACGAATATGCAAAATGCAAATCCATCAAAATCACATGTGTCTTTTTTCTTATCTCATCAGTCCTCGCGAAGGCAAACGGGTGTCACAACTAAAT